CCCGTGACCACCCCCAGAGACGTTCTTGCAGCTCTGGCCTCTGTCGGGAGGACTTGTGTGTGGAGAACTTAGATGTACCTGGCCTCCATTCCCCGTTTCCTGCTAGGGTGGGGGATGGGAGCGGTGTTTGGTGCTAACCAGCAGTGGGCCACCTCCATTCCAGATTGTCACAGCTCTGGCCATTGCGGGCACCCTCAACTTCAACCCAGAGACTGACTTCCTGACAGGCAAGGATGGCAAGAAATTCAAGCTGGAGGCTCCAGATGCAGACGAGCTTCCCCGAGCGGTGAGCAGGCCCTGCCGCTCGCCATTGGGCTAAGACCCTGCCCTTCCTGGGCAGGCAGGATGGTACCGGGAGAGAGAATGAGGCAGCTCCGTGCACGGGGGGGGTTCGGGGGGGGCTTCTACAGGAGCCTGTGCTCGTGGGGACGGAGGACTCGGCACCCAGCATGTCCCGACCTCCTCCTGCAGGAGTTCGACCCTGGGCAGGACACCTACCAGCACCCTCCCAAGGACAGTAGCGGACAGCGGGTAGATGTGAGCCCCACCAGCCAACGCCTGCAGCTCCTGGAGCCTTTTGACAAGTGGGACGGCAAAGACCTGGAGGACCTGCAAATCCTCATCAAGGTCAGCGGCAGGGGGAGAACAGCCCCGGCCTGCCCAGGCCCTGCCCTCAACAGCAGGAAGGGCTGTGAAACCATGTGCTCTCCCCTGGGTGCCGGTGGGGAAGGTCGGGGCGGGGGCCAGCAGGGAGGTCCGGCTGCAGAGGAACCAGGGCCTCCACGGCCCAGTGTCCCTTTCTCCCCCTCCCCATGCCAGGCTGAGCCGGATCTGGCCAGCCGTGTCTGGGGTGCTCAGCCATCAGCGGCAGCTGGTGAGGGCCACCTGCAGCGGCCACGGGCCGTGGGTGCAGCACAGGAAGGGCCAGAAGGGCACCAGGTCTCCACGCCTCTGGCTTGACCACACAGGCTCCAGAAGCCACAGAGTTCTCTGCTCCCGCAGTTGGGCATCGGTTGGTCTGGCCTGTGTCTGGGAGTCGAGCGGACACAAGCCTCTGTGGTGTGGCCAGAGGCCTCAGACCCATGTCAGGCATGAATTTTTGCTGTTTACTAAGGGTCCTCAGGCAGTGGCAGTGGGTATTAAGCCCACGTGATCGATAAAACTGGTGACCAGCCAATCAGGACACGTCCTTGGGCTCCTCTGGGTCCAGCATGAGGTCTGTGGCCGGTCTTCCTGCCTGGGCATCACTTGCCTGGGGGCCTAGGTCAGAAGGGTGAGTGAGCAGACCTGCCTGTGGGTGTCCTGTCCCGGACAAGTCACCGAGCAGCCCAGGCCCTTCAAGGGGTCGGGGATGGTCTGGCCTGAGCCCTTGTCAAAGTATAGCAAGGCCAGGGTGGCAGACTGTGTGTCCAAAGCCAGACCTGCTGCCTTTGTCACTCTTCCTGGGTTGCAGTTGCTGGGCCTGCTGCCAGTCTCTAGAGGGCTTCTCCCTTCATCCATCTCTCCTGTGTCGTGCCCTGATCTCTGTCCTCTCTTCTCACCCACCCAAGGTCAAAGGGAAGTGTACCACCGACCACATCTCGGCTGCGGGCCCCTGGCTCAAGTTCCGTGGGCACCTGGACAACATCTCCAATAACCTGCTCATTGGCGCCATCAACATCGAAAACGGCAAGGCCAACTCCGTGCGCAACGCCGTCACCCAGGAGTTTGGTCCTGTCCCTGATACTGCCCGCTACTATAAGGTGGGTCCCGGTCGGTGGGGGCGGGGGCAGGGATGCAGGGAAGGGGTGCTCTCCCCCCAGGAGCCCACACCAATAGCTCTGCAGTTGAAGGATGCCCTGGTGCCACGGGGGCAGTCCTGTGTCACCCTCACCACATATCCCTGCTCTGGGCTCTGCTCCGATCCCACACTGGCCTTCCCCCAACGCCTGCCTCTGTCCTGAGTACTGATGGGTAGGTGGCACCTCCCCATGCCCCTTGCAGAGAGTCAGGGCCCGTGTCTGATCACCTCCGTCCCCTCAGGGCCTGATTGGGGCCTGATTCCCCTCTGATTTCACCAGCCCCTGGGGAGCAGATAGGAAGGGGCCTCTCTAGCCCCCTGACCTGTGAACCTCAGGAAGCCCAGGGCCAGCAGGCAGGGGGCCAGCGTCCTCTCCCTCATGGCCGCCTCATTTGCCTGACAGAAACACGGCATCCGGTGGGTAGTGATTGGAGATGAGAATTACGGGGAGGGCTCGAGCCGGGAGCACGCAGCACTGGAGCCTCGCCACCTCGGGGGCCGGGCCATCATCACCAAGAGCTTTGCCAGGATCCATGGTAAGGTGGAGTCAGGTCGTGCCACATCCGCTTCCCCTCCCTGGCAGCCCACGGTCACCCACCCTGCCGGTGGTGGAGTCAGGCCTGGAGCCACGCGCCTGGTTTCCACGCCGTGTCCACAGCTCCCGTTTTCCACCAGTCTTTGCCCCTTCTGAGTTGCGTTGGGTCCAAGGCCCACTGCTTCCCAAGATGGGAACTTGCTTCCAAACTTGCAGACCTAAGCAGCAGAAATCCAGGGCACGTGGTAAGGGGATGTTCTGATTGTGAATGTCTGTCAGGAAGGCCAATGGAGACCCAAACCAGCACGCTGACGTAGGCTCAGGCAGAAGGTACCCTGTCATTGGGAGTAGAGCCACCCTGGTCCTTTTAGTTCTGCTCAGAGTTGTCTCCAGATGGCAGGACCAGGGTGCCTCTCCCAGAGCCCTCGCTGGGCTTAGAAAAGGAAGCTCTTAGGCTGGTGAGGCTCCCTGTGCAGAGAAGGGGGGCACTGGCCCTGCGTGCTATGGACTGACTCAGTGTGCCCTCTGCCTTCTAGAAACCAACCTGAAGAAGCAGGGCTTACTGCCCCTCACCTTCGCTGACCCAGCCGACTACAATAAGATTCACCCCGTGGACAAGCTGACCATCCAGGGCCTGAAAGATTTTGCTCCTGGCAAGGTCAGGGGGCCAGGTCGGGGACAGCCACCATGCTTCCCCTCCTTCTCCTCCCATGAGTCTTTGTTTCAGCTGCAAGGGCCCTTAAACTCTCACGGCACCCCCGTCGGAGGGAAGGAAGTGCCTTCCCAGAGACAAGGGTGGAGCCAGCTCAGGCCCACTCATCAGGGCAGGCTTGGCACTCAGGCCAACAGCCCATGCAGAGCAGGACCTTCTTGTCCCTGGGAGTCATGCCATCCAGGTCTTACTGGGGCCGCCCAAGCCCAGACCTGGCCTAGAGCTTGGTTTGCCTGCTGGCCCGAGGTTCACCTTGCGTGCACCCCACCTCCCTGACCCTGCAGCAGAATCCAGGGCTGTGTTCCTAAGATCCACTCCACTTCCCCCCACTCTCAACAGCCCCTGAAATGCATCATCAAGCACCCCAACGGGACCCAGGAGACCATCCTCCTGAACCACACTTTCAACGAGACCCAGATCGAGTGGTTCCGTGCCGGCAGTGCTCTGAACAGAATGAAGGAACTGCAGCAGCATTAAGGTCGGGCTCCGCACCCTGCCCGCCTGCTCCTCGGACCCGACTCCGGGGTCCCCAGTGCAGTCCACGCGTCATCAGAACTGGATCCGCCCCGATCCAGCCACGGCTTCCTGCTCCAAGACGGTGTGCTCAGCCCGAGTGACCCACGGTTGGGGGGGGGGGTTCTTAAAAGAATGTTCCAGCCCCCCTGCCTTCCCATGTTTAGTCTGATTGAGATCTTGAGCAGCTCCATTCAACTATTTATTTTTGATGACAAGACTCCCATCTAAAAGTTTTTCTCCTGCCTCATTTCACTGGTGGCTCAGATTTTAAAGAAACTTTTGCTCTTACAAGGAAAATTAAGAATCCAAACTCAGTGACTGTCCCTGTGCGTGAGTGGTGGTGTCCGTACCGTTACCGACTCCAGGGCGCAGGGTGGGTCGCTGTGGCCCGTCGGCAGAGGCCCCCACTGGCCACGCCACAGCGGACCTGCCACTGCCAGGAAGTTCAAGTGGGAAGGCCGCTTTCCCGCTTCTTAGTCCCACCTTCCTGCCCCCTGGGCCAGCCTCCCCTACCCACTCCCCAGCATCTGCATGGCCCCCCTCGTGTCCTTCCCCTTGTCATGGACTTATCCCCCTCCCTCGAGGCCATGGTGCCACGCGGGGGCGGGCATCGTTCTGCAGCTGCTGCTTGCCCTGGAGCGCCGTCCCCGGGCAGGACCCAGGCCCCGGTGCCCTGGTGCCCGTGCGAGCGGAGGCGGCCAGAGCAGGAGGTGGGCTCCAGGGAGGGCCCTTCCTCAGCACGAGACTTGCCTGACAGAAACTCGGTGTCCCGTGGGCGCCATAAAACAAGCCTGCGGGTCCTGTGGAAGTGAGTGAAGAGGCAGGAAGAACCTGGCAGAGCCCCTGTGCTGAATAAACAAGGTGCTGTTTGCCCTCATCTGGGATTTGGTGCCGGCAGCAGGCCCACGCAGTGTTCCTGGCATGGCCGAGGTCTGAGTGACCGTTGTCCTGCCGGTGGGGGGGGGGGGGTGTAACACAGCTGGTCGCCAGCCTGGCCCTCGGGCCACCTAAGCCCACGGCCTCCACTTTCCTGACGGCGCTGGCTTGCCTGAGTCCAGGCCCCCGCCTTCCAAACACTGGTGGGGAAAAGGCGCTTGTCCCTGAAAGGTCAAGACTTGACAACTAGCAGCTACCCCAGGTCAGCCTCTCGCTCAGTTACTTTAGGGAGCCACGAGCTTAGCCCAGAGTCCAGCCTGAGGCCCTCAACCCCCCCAAGTCCTGCCATGGGGGCAGGTCACCTGCAGAAGTGACCCGGGGAGAGGAAGGACAGGCGGTCCCAGCTGTGGCAGTTCAGTGACCTTAGATGACGGAGACAGGGTGGCTCTTCCCTGACTGATGCCGTCTTTTATTAAAAGTCTGTGCCATCGCCGAGAGGCAGAGGTCCAGAGGGAGAGCGGGACTCTGGGGATAGCTCCATTCGGGGGGGCACACACTCTGCTCCTCGGAGTCTGCGGAAGGGGCTGTGGTCCTCACGGCCGGCTGCATCACTTCGCAGGGCTGGGCTGGGGTCTGCCGGACTGGCCAAGGTCCGCCGTCGCGCCCCAGGGCTAGCTGCTGGTCCACCAGGAGAGAAGGCCCAGGCCTGGCTCACTGATGGATCCCTGCCCGGGGAGAGAGAAAACAAGCACATTTCATCTACCTTCAGGGCTTGAGCCACCTCGGGAGGCAGAGGGGCCCACCCTTCCGGGTGCCCCACACAAAGGGAATAGTGGAGCAAGCACACACCAGCCAAGAGGAGGATGGGGGAAATCCAGGGGCCGCCCCAGCACTCCCGGCTCGCACCCGGGAACACAGCCCAGCTCCCCTTTCCTGCCCCAACCTCACCTGAGGCCACTAAGGAAAGTGCTGGTTCTCTAAGGGCATGCCTCTGGCCCCAAGGCCTCAGCTGGGTCAGGTTCCCTTCCTCGCCCCCAAGCCTGTCCAAACATGGCCCGCGGCAGGTCAGGCCGGGGCACACTCTCAAGTCCTGCCAGGAAGGCCTAGTGGCCCTGCACCCCAGCCTCCAAAAACATGCAGAGGGGATGCCCTTGGCCACCCGGATTTTTGACAAAGCACAGCAGCCCCCAAAGCAAACCACCTGCAGCGCAATTGTACCAGGAAATCCTCCTAGCAGGCCCCAGAAACGTGTCCTACTTTGTCCTGCGTCACAGTCACTTCATGAGGGTAGAAGACCCAGGGAACCCTGGTCAGGTCTGGTCACAGCTCCCCTGCCACCCCATGTGCACACCTGGTCGGGTGTGGGAGCGGCCCCGACGGAGGGTCACCCCTCCCCGAAGCCCCCACTCTGGTGCTTGACCTGCTCCCAAGCCCCTTCCCCACTTGCTTTCTCCCTCAGCCTGCTTATCAGCAGCCTCGTCACCCAGCGTGGGCTCAGTCCCTCTTGCCGTCAGGAGTCTGACGCTCCCAGTGTTATGCCCTGGCTTCTGAAACACGCTCCCCGGGGAGAAGTGACCACCCGAGAGCTCATCAGGGACCGGCGCCCTGACCGGCGGGGTACCCCAAGTCAACACCCTAGGAAGCCGCTCCCGTGCCTGGGTTCTCCCGCCACACCGGTGCCCGTGCACATCTCACCATAAGCGTGTACGGAGCCTCCTTCTTTGGCAGCTCCTCACTGGAAGACGCGGCCTCGGCCGAGCTGGGCCCCGTGGGGGACGTGTCCACAAAGCTCTCATCCACCACCCGGAAGCGGATCTCCTCGCCGGTGTCCATGTACAAGTCGTGCGCTCCTTCCTCTGTCTCGTACTCCCACACCCACACCTGCTCTGCCTCGTCGCTGGGCGGGGTGCGGGGTCAAGGCAACAACCAGGGAGGGGGCAGCCCGCGGGTGGGGGGGGTCCTCCCCCAGGCAAACCCCATCTGAGGATGAGAGCCCCTTGGCTGGGGTGTCAAGGAGAGACAGGCCCACACCACGTGCATGAGGCTGGGCAAGGTCTGGACCCCACAGGCAAGAGCGGGAACGCTGGGGGACGCGGGCCCCCCCACCCGGCACCACAGCCAGGCGCGCACACACATGCTCAGGGCCCCAGAGCAGGAAGAAGGCTCAAGAGCAGAGCGAGCCCCACCTCTTGAGGCAGGAGTGACAAAGGCCTCTTGCTGCCCGGGTCCTCTCAGGCCAGCCGCCACGTTCAGACCTCCGCTCCACCGGCCGTGACCCGGGCCAGGCCCAACCTCTGAGCCTCGGGTCCCCATGTGTAAAACAGGGGTTGTGGCAAGGCCCGCCCGCGCAGGGCTGTGGTGACGAGGTAATAACGCAGCGCACCCAGAAAGTGCTTTCTGTGGGAGCCGCGCAGTCGGCCCTGGGGTGCTAGCTGAAGCTGTGCTACGTTCTCTGCTGTCCGACTCCACACCCCTTTCCATCACACCCCGTGAAAATGACCAACACGCAGCGCAAGGACCTTCCCGGTGCTCAGGACGGACACGGCTGCCGGAAGGCCACCTGCCTGAGGGCCCACAGCCAGCGAGAGCCCCAGCCGGGCAGGGCCGGGTTTCCTGACAAGCCCTGGCGTGCCCCACAGACCCTGCCCCTGGCCCGCACAGGCCGAGCCAGAGTGCCCCGATGAACCAGTGAGGGCAGCACCCCGGGACTCCCGCCGAAGCCCCAACCCCTCCCTCAGCCCACACTGAGGAGCCACAGCGCCCTCTAGTGGCGGTCCCGCGCAGGGTCTGGCCTTAACCGCCCCCCCCCCTCTGGAGCCCGGTCCCCTGCTGGGCCCTGGGGACACAATCCTGACAAGATGGGGTCCCTTCCAGGGAGCAGTCTCAGTGAGGACCCCCCAGAAACAGACAACCCTAGGGCGACCAGGCAAGGGCTCGGGCAGGGCAATGGAGGAAGCCAGCAGAGGGAAACTCAACCCAGCACAGGACCAGGCACAGTCAAGCCCTCAAACGTCGGCCAACGGTACGGTTCGCATAGCAGGGAAGCGGGGAGGCGAGCCAGTCAGAACAAACCTCTCCAGGGACGGGAGCTCCGAGATGATCCCTGCGAAGACAACCTAAGCACCCCACCTACAGAGCACTAGAGCACAGACGGGGGCAGGGGCGTGGGGACACCACGGTTAACATGGGAGCAGGGGCAGGACAGCGCTTCTGGAGCACACGTGCAGGCCGGGGGGCGGGGGTGGACACACAAGTCAGCGGTGTCAGATCCAGGCCCCAGGGTCACCCCAGGGAGTGGGGACGGTCCTTTGGAAAGACCTGAGCTCCCCTGTGACCCACTTTAACCTTGGGAGGATACAACTTGGCTGGCTGCTGCAGCGACTCAGGGGGGATGAGAATGTCATCGAAGAACCCTAGAGAGACTGGAACACACGAGATAGTGACAGCATGGGACAAGGGCAGTTGTTGCCATGGAAATCTGAGCCCCCCCCCCCACCTCGGAGCCCCACGCCCCCGCCTAGTCCACTCAGCCACCAAAACCTGCAGCGGACATCACGCAAAACCGGGACCAGAGGGTGCCTGGGACCCCGAGCCCCCTCTGGCAGCTGCTGTGTCCAGCCCGCGGTCCTGAGGGAAGGCCTCACAGTGAAGCCCCACAGCTGGCCAAGGCCTTCACTGTTGCGTGAGCACGAGGGGGCTGCGTACTGCCCTCCCCCCCAGCTTACCTGACAGCCCCCGCCCCGACCTGTGGCCCAGCCCAGAAGCTGAAGGGAGGCCTGCTGGCCTGGCCACTTGCCCCAACGTGCTCCCAGGCTTCGTCTGAGGATCAGGGCCACCGTTACCGTGCACTCCCTCCGGGCTGCAGCCTTTGATCTTGCCAATCAGAATCTCATCCAGGAAGGGATGGAACACCACATAGCGAAAATGGACTGGAAGTGAAGGAAGAATGTCAGTGACGAGCAGGCACGTGAGGGATGGCTGCTCTGCGGCGGCCCCGGCTTCCCAGTGTTGACCATACACGCCAGCCCGCTGACCTGGAGGCCCTGTGGCTACCCCAGAGTCCGCTGGGCCCTCCATACCCCGTCCCTCTGTGGGTCCAGACCCGCCAGCGGAGCTGCAGGAACCCACACCCCATCCCCTGCAAGGCCAGAGCGCAGCCCCCGTAACAGGCCAACAGCAGTGGCCCTCAACGGAGGGCTGGCCCCCAAGCCCACCCGACAAGTCACTCCTGAACCCAGATTCTGGGCCATGGATGACTCCAAAGTCAATTCCACCCTTCCTCCAGACTCACTCCCTTAAATTCTAGAAGGGGCAGTAGTAACTGGCAAAGGGAGCCAGGTTCAGAAACAAGTCTTCCGTCTCCCCCTGATGGGAAAGTTTGCTCCGGGCATAGCTCTGACCTGGAATAGGACGTTAAAAATGCCCTGAAATGGACGGGGCCACGGGGAGGCAGAGGCAAGAAGCCAACAAAAATGCCTCTGTGGGCTCGCAGGCCCTGCCCTAGGTGGTCCCCAACTCGGCAGACCCCCAGGACGTGGCAGAAGCCATTACCTTGTCACTCCTGCCCAACAGCCCCAAAGGGGTGACCAGCACTGGCCTGACCCCCGCCAGAGCTAGAGAATAACCATGAGGCTACGTCTTGCTGGTCACACGGTGCCCATCGCCACCCACCCGTGTCGGCTGTCACGCTTCCCCGCCATGAGGATGGGAGGCGGCTCAGAGGGGCCGCGTGACCTGCTCACAGCCACTCAGCTCTTCTGTCCTGCTTTGCCAGGGGAGGACTCCAAGCCTTTCTGGGCCACCAAACACGGCCACAGGGTGGAATCTACCTTCCCGGACAGCTTTCACCCCCACACAGGCTCCCGCCCCTAGCACCCTCAGCTCCCCGCTCTGCCAACGCCACCCTAGGGCCGACGGGGCCCCCAGCTCCCTGCCAGGTGGCCTCTCCGTGGCCCCACCAGGCAGGAAGCACGAGGGAAGAAGAGGGGGCGAACGTAATGCGGCCTATCCACACAACGGAATATTACTCAGTCTTAAAAAGGGAGGAAGTAGACACCTGCCACAACACGGATGGAGCTCGAGGACATCACGTCATGTGAAATAAGCCAGTTCCGGAGGACCACATGCCGTGTGACTCCATTATATGAGATGTCCAGGATAGGCGAACCCAGAGACAGAAAGTAGATCCGCATTTGCCAGGGGCTGGGGGAGGAGAGCATGAGGAGTAACTGCTGGTAGGTACGGGGTTGCTTTTCGGAGGTGGGGGAAAATGTTCTGGAATGACATCATGGTGACAGTTGCACAACTCTGAATATCCTAAAAGCTACCAAATGTAAGCTTTAAAAGGGTGAATTTTATGGCATGTAAATGAGATCTCCATTAAAACCAAAAAGGAGGCCACAGACCAGCAGGAGGGCCAGCCGGGCCAGGGCCGTATTTGGAGCCACCTCCCAAGAGCCCGACCTCAAGTTCCGGGGTGTGTAGTGGGCAGACAGGAGCCGGGAAAGTCAATAAGGTTGGGGCTGCAGGATCAGTAAGAGGAAGACCCGCTCTCAGGGGCAGGCTCGGGCCAAATCCCAGGAGCAGCAGGGCTGCCTCGGGATGTAGTGAGTTTCTGCAAAGGACAGACACTAGATGATTCCACTATATGAAGTACCTCGAGTAGTCAAATTCATAGAGACAGAAAGTACAACGGTGGTTTCCGGGGCCTGGAGCTGCTGGGAATGGGGAGTGAAGGCTTAAGAGGAGCAGTTTCAGTTTGGCAAGATGACAAGGTTGGTAGTGGTCACCCAGCAATGACTGTACTGGATGCCATTGAACTGGGCACTAAAAATGATTAACATGGTAAATCTTATGTTATATATATTTTATCACAACTTAAAACCAAAAAAAAAAAAAAAAAAACCAGAACGAAGCAAACGGTGGGCATGAGTAGAGTCTACTCTGGAGCTCCGAGCAGGTCAAGAGGGGCTCCCCCGGGGCCAGTCAGCTTGTGGGGCAAGGGGAACATGGCCATGGTGCCATGTCCAAGTACCCTAAGTGACAAGAGCTGAGGCTGGACACCCGGGCGCAGTGTCACAAGTCACAGAGGCTGACGTCTTGTGAGCACTTACCATCCGAGAGAGGTGAAGCGACCTGGCCCAGGGAGAAGGAAGTACAAGGCAATAAGCAAATGAAGAGCCCTCAAAACAAAGGGGGAGACATGGGGCTGAGGCCTCCCTCCACACACCCTGGCCACAGCCCTGGGTGAGGCAGTGGGCTGGGGGGGCGGCAGGAACGGGCCTGGGGTGGAGGATCAGCCTTAAAGCACGGCATTGATCCCCACAACAGAGCACCACCATGCACGGCGCTTCGCAGACCACAGTGAGCTTCACAGCTCCAAGTGTTGACCCCATTTTACAGATGAGGAACCCGAGGCCAAGACAGGCGGCGTTACCTGCTCAAGGTCCGCATCCGGCGGGGGGGCGGGGAGCAGAGCCAGAATTCAAATCTGGGTCCATGTGACATGCCTCACCCAGGGCCCTAATCCTCACACCTCATTCCCAAGGAACCAGGGGGCCCAGGGTGAACTGGGGGTGGGGGGACAATGAAAACCAACAGTGGAAATCTTACACCAAGTGGCAGAAACAACCAAATGAAAGAACAGAATTTCCTCAAGTTTCACTTTTTCCTCCCAGTCTTCCTTGAAGTTCTGGTGCCTCTCACCACTTGTCCAGGGCAAGTCTAAAGGCAGAGACTGGGCTCAGCTCAAGGGCATCCTTCTCCGTAAAGAGAGGCCCTGTGGTCTTGTTTTCACGTCTCCATTTAATTTCTCTGCGAAGTGCTCCTAGGGCTGTCCACAGAGCACGGTAACATCTCTGTGAATCTAATTAAGTCTCTGGACTCCTGGACACAGACACCAGGCAGCCTCATGGCACGTTCTGGAATGCTCGACATCTCTGTGTCCAGAGGCTGACCAGGATGGGCTAGGGCAGGGCTCCTCACACTTGGCCTTGCGTGAGAAGCACCTGGCTCCTTGTTAAACACAGTCTGCGGGCTCATCTCCAGAGATTGTGATTCAGCAGCTCGGAGTGCCTAGCGCGTGGCAAGCTGCAGGCCTACCCACTGATTCGCCCCAAACCACGTCAGCAACCCCTCCTTTGCCCTCTGCTGCTTCGGCTGGGTCCAGGGAGGACAGAGAACGCCCCACGCCCTCCCTGAGAACCCTAGCCAAGGTGACCATCGCTCTACTCGTCCAGGACTGCTAACCAACCTTGCCTTCCTTCCCAGGGTGCACACCCCTTTGCTATGGGACTGCAGCTCCTCCCACCGAGAGGTGGAGTCTATTTTCCCATCCCTTGGCCAGCCTCAGCCATGTGACCTGCTTTGGCCAATGGGCTCTTCCTACAGGAAGAAGAGACCACATGCAGCAGAGATGAGCTGTCCCCCCTTCCCCGGAGCCAGTATGCCAACCACCAGACACATGAGGCCATCCTACCCCACTCAGCCCTGGACAGGCCAGCCCAGAAGAACCCATTTAGCAGATCCACAGAAATCAGGAGAAACAGTTCAAATCAATGAGCCCCTGAGCCCTCCTGATGTGCCAAGGACCCATCCTAGGACCTTTGCATGTATTAATTTAGTATTCTCACAACAGTCCTGTAATATAAAATCTACTGTTAACTACGTTTTATAGGCAAGGAAACAGAGGCATGGAGAGATTACATATTCTACACAGGACACAGAGCAAATTAAGTGGCCAAGTGGGATTTGAATCCCAGAGACTACACTTAACCATTAAGTCCTAGGGCCCCTCAAAGTCCCCCACCCTCAACCAGCCTCCTCCCCAAGAGACAGATGCACTCCCCTCGGCTCTCCACACTTTTATTTTTATTTATTTTTTTAAAGATTTTAAGTAATCCCTATACCCAACATGGTCTTGAACTCACAACCCGAGATCAAGAGTCACGCACTCTACCAACTGAACCAGCCAGACACCCCTGCTCTCCACTTTTAATCCAGCAATGACCATTCCAAGTGCCCTCACCTGTCTGGCCACCCCTCCAATCAGACTGAGCAGCCTGATGGCCAGGCAGAGTAGGGCTCAGTAATAAATGAGACGAAAGGGGGCACAGACACGGAGCCACAATCTCAGAGCAAGAGAGGCCTCCAGAATCACCTTGTCTGGGGCACCTGGCTCAGTCATGTAGCGACAGATTCTTAGCTCAGGCCTTGATCTCAGGGTCATGAGATCGAGCCCTGCATTGGATTCCACATTCGGCAAGGAATCAGCTTGGGGTTCTCCCCCTTTCCCTCTCCCCCCACTGGTGCGTGCACACTCTCTCGTGCTCTCTCTCTCGAATAAATGAATAAGTAAAATCCTTAAAAAAAAAAAAAAATCATCTCGTCCACCATTTCTTATAGGTGAAGAAACCAAGGCCTAGACAGGGGAAGACTCTGTCCACTGTCACCCAGTCAATTCCTGGCAGAGTCAGGACTAGGCCTCAGGTCTCCCAATCCCTAGACCAGGATTCCCACAACCAAAAACCAAACCCCAAGAAACCCAATGCCAAAGAGGAAAGGGCAGGCTGCCTGGGTGGCTCAGTCAGTTAAGCGTCTGCTTTCGGCTCAGGTCATGACCTGGGGGTCCTGGGATCGAGCCCCACATCAGGCTCCCTGCTCAGCAGGGAGTCTGTTTCTCCCTCTCTCTTTGCCCCTGCCCCCCATGCTTTTGCTCATGCACACTCTCGAATAAATAAAAAATCTTAAAAAAAAAAAAAAAAAGAGGAAAGGGAACCCACCTTTGGTGTGCGACGCACCGTCCCCTGGGAACACGTAGGCATCCTCCAGCTTGGTGATGTCAAACAGACAGATGCAGAGCCCCACGTTGTACACGACCTGTGTGCATCCACATACACACACACACACCGTGACACTGGCCCAGCTCCCCAGCATGCTCTCCTGAGACCCTCACCACCCACGGCAGGTAATGATTACCCCATTTTACAGCCAGAAATGAGTTGGGGCACCGTCTAAGGTAACCATGGGTCAGGGGCCTCTGAAGGATGCAGAGCTCTGGAAAGAGCGGGGCCTTTGTGACAAGGCAGATCCCGGTTACAGTGCCAGTTCCAACACTCACTGTGTGACCTCCAAGGTCACTCCTCTGAGCCTCAGTTTCCCCCATTTGCAAAAATGGACCTCCCAGGCTGCAGGTTTGTTAAACAGAGGGAATGGATGTGAAGCCCCATGCCAGTGTCTGGCTTACACGCTAGAAGTAGTAATAGTCAACCACGGATCACTATTATTAGTCAGGATCACTGACAACCAGGGAAACCTGGTTTAAACCTGCACTTCCCAAAGTCTCCAGGTCCATGCTAGAGCTCAGGGCTTGGTGTCAGAGGCCCAGCTAATCCCCCATGCCCCTCACAAAGTAGGAGACACAGCCGTGGCTGCAGGGACTGAGCCTGGCAGAGTGACCCAGGGCCAAGGCCCCGAGACTAGGCAGACAGCATCCTGTGCCCCCTTCCACACCCCACAAGGCTCCAAACCACCGGCCCGCTGGTGTCACCCTATCTGCCACCAGTGTCATCACCTCCCAATTACAGCCCTGCAGGACTGTTCAACGATTAGCAAGAAGCTCAGAGAACTTAAGGCCCGGGCCAGACCTCACCACAATGAGGCGCAGAGTCTGGCTGGCTTCGGCAGCACAAGATCTGTGCCCTTGGCCGGACCACGGACCTCTTCTGTGCAGCCTCCTCGCAAAGGACTCAAATACAGAAGACTCATCTCAACAGGTCACTGAAGGACCTAAAGGGACTACATGCCCTTCTTGGACTTTTCACACCTTCTCTCTCCAAAATGCTCACACTTCGTCCCTCCACAGACCCCTTGACCTTCTACCTCACAAAGTAACCGGAAGCCATCCACTAAGGACTTCATGAGTTCTCTCCACCAACAACTCCCTAGATCCATACACCTCCCTTCTATGACCTCAGCCTCCATGGAAGGGACTGGCCTTCCTCTTGCTGGCTCCTTCTCAGCCTATCACTTCCTGCTAGTCTACAGATGAAGACCAATACCGCCATGACATCCTGCAGGCCCTGTGCGGCTTGGCTCCTGCCACCTTTCCAGTCTGCCCTCCCCTCTCTTCCTCTGCTCAGGCCACACCAGCCTCCTCCATGTTATGATGGGTGAAATATTCCCTCCTGCCACAGGGCCTTTGCACATGCTGTTTCCTTTGCCTGCCCAGCTCTTCTCTCTGCACAGCCCTCTCCCACCCTCAAAAATGAATCCCCTCGGGGCGCCTGGGTGGCTCAGTCGTTAAGCTTCTACCTTCGGCTCAGGTCATGATCCTGGGATCCTGGAATCAAGTCCCGCATCGGGCTCCCTGCTCAGCGGGAAGCCTGCTTCTCCCTCTCTCCCTGCTTGAGTTCCCTCTCTCGCTGTCTCTCTCTCTCTGTCAAATAAAGAAAGAAAATCTTGAAAAAAAAAAAAAAAAATCCCCTAGTCAGTTCCTCTTCAGCATCATCTCTCAGCTCAAGCTCAAATGCCACATCCCTAACAAAGCTGCGTTCTCCCTCACTGTAGGCAGAGTTCTCCTCCATTCCACAGACTTGTGAATGCCTGTCCTTCACAGCACTTACCTCAACTTGTCATCACATACTCAACTGTGGGTCCCTCTCATTCATATCTGCTCTCCCCACCACACTACAGGGTAGAACCTTGTCTGCTTCATTCAATCAACAGACAATTATGGAACATCTGCTATGTGCCAGGCTCTGGCTAAATATGAGGGCACCGTGTGTGGAAGACAAAGGTGCCTGCCATCATGGAGCTGGAAGAAAAACCACAATCATCTAAGAAGGAAAGAGTGATAGGACACAGAGTAACTGAGGAAGGGTTACTACAGAAAAGGCAGCAGGAAGCCCCAGACTAGCTGTCACTAAGTCATGTAGGGCTGGCATATAAAAGGTGCACAAGGGGCGCCTGGGTGGCTCAGTTGGTTGGGCGTCTGCCTTCGGCTCAGGTCATGGTCCCAGGGTCCTGGTATCGAGCCCCGCATCGGGCTCCCTGCTCGGCGGGGAGCCTGCTTCTCCCTCTCCCTGCCTCTCTGCCTACTTGTTCTCTCTCTGTATCTCTCTGCCAAATAAATAAATAAAATCTTTAAAATATATATATAAATAAATAAATAAATAAAAGGTGCACAAATACTTTTTTGCAGGAATGAATGGATAAACCTCCTGACGGTGAACTCTAAACCACTCTGTCCATCTTCACAAAAACAGTGCGCGGTTGGACAACCATTATTATTTCCATTTTACAAATGGAAACTGAGGCCCAGAGGGGTAAGTGATCTGCCCAAGACTACAAACTAATTTGGCAGTGTAGAATCTAGCATTTCCCAGTTACAAGAGCCTTTTTCAAACCCAGTTTCTTTTTTGATTCCCTCTGACGTCCTTCGTGCAGAGGGATTACCCCCATCCCCTGTACAGGTGAGGAAACCGAGTTCTGAGACGTTAAGCTACTTGACCAAGGCCAAGGTCTGGCATGACCAAGGCCAGGCCTGCAGCGGGCAGGTGGGCAGTGCTGGGCCCTCCGGTGCCAGGGCCTGCCAGCGACCCCGTGGGCCCAGTACCTTGTTGGCCAACTTTTTGTTCAGCTCCTCGGCAATGGAGTCGTTGAGCTTCCTCTCAAACTGCCACGGGGGAATCCGCACGGTGTCCACCATCTCCACCAGGACAAACATCCCGGCCTGCGCTGGGGCCCTGGGAATGGGAGGGTCAGTCACGCACCGTCTGGGGCGGTGGGCATTCCCCAAGCCCTTCCCACCCCCCAGCAAGGCCGGCAGTGGGGCTGCGAGGTAGGGCGCCGGGGCGTGCTCAGCCGCTGCAAAGCGAGGAAACTGAGGATTAGCGGGAGGGGCCCTCGCTCCAGTGGAAGTGGTACGAGCACCCGTCGCACGACCCCGCGCTGCCCCGCCACGAACCACGCGCCGCGGCCACGCACCACGCTCCCACGCGCAGCCGACTTGGGACGAGACTCCGAATCTCACTTCCGGAGAACAGACCAATAAGAAGCCTTTGCCCGCCCCCCGACGCGGCGCCGGGGCGTGGCGGGGCGGGGCCTCCCCTTCTGCCGGGGCGGAGCCGTCAACCCTCCGACCGCGCTTTCTGGTTGCTAGGCGACCTCGGTGCATTCCAGACTTCACCGGCTTGGCTAGTGCTATACTCTCTTCTTCCGGGTCTCAGGTTGTGCGGTGCGCCGCAGCCGGAGGGATCCTCTCAAAAGCCGGGACAGGATGCTTAGACCCCTCAGTACCCTGGAGGCGGGAGAATTAACTGGAAAGGGGCAGGCGGGACCTGATAGAAATGTTTCGTATCTTCTTCTAGGGGGTGGGTTACACAGATGTATGCACTTGTCAGGGGTGCCTGGCTGGCTCAGTGGGTAGGGCGTGCGACCCTTGATAACAGGGTTGTGAGTTCAAGCCCCACGCTGGGTACAAAGGTTACTTAAAAACAAAATCTTTTTAAAAACCGCATTGAACTCTATAGTTAAGATCTTTGCATTTAATTGTAGGCAGATTACATCGCAATTGAAAAGTGATAATAAGTTGGGACCCAAAAACAACCTCAGTAGCTTCCCACTAAACTAATAACAAAGTCCGAAACTTTGAGGCGCCTTGCAGGGAAGAGGGAGAGAGAGAGAGAATTTGATGCCTTGATCTCTAGATTGTGAGTTCAAGCCTACACCTTGGGTGTAGAGATTACTTAAAATAAATAAATAAATTGGGGCGCCTGGGTGGCTCAGTCACTCAAGCAACTGACTTCAGCTCAGGTCATGATCTCAGGGTCCTGGGATAGAGCCCCGTATTGCTTATCGGGCAGTCTGCTTGTCCCTATCCTCACCCTCCCTCCGGTCCTGCTAGTGCGCGCGCTCTCTCTCTCAAATAATAAATATCTTAAATAAGTCCAAAACCTTTATGGTAGCTCACAAGGCCCTGCAGGGTCTCGCCTCTAAAATAAACTATTTTAAAAAAGGCGGCGGGGGTGGGGGGCGCGCCTGGGTGGCTCAGTTGGTTAAGCGACTGCCTTCGGCTCAGGTCATGGTCCTGGAGTCCCGGGATCGAGTCCCACATCGGGCTCCCTGCTCAGCGGGGGTCTGCTTCTCCCTCTGACCCTCTTCCCTCTCGTGCTCTCTATCTCTCATTCTCTCTTTCTCAAATAAATAAATAAAATCTTTAAAAAAAAATAAAATAAAATAAAAGAAGGATCTTGCCTCTACCCACACCTCCAGCCCCATTTTGTTCTTTCCCCTGTCACCCCTGCCATTCCCACTCATCTTCATATGATGGGTAACATGGGCTTGGTAAGACAATTCAGTAGCTTGTCCGAGATCACGGGCTGCTAAGTGGTGGAAGCGGGCCCATCTAAACCTCTACACTGCCTCTAAAAGTTGTGGGCTGTGGAAATATACTGGCTTGTGTTTAAACCAAATAAAAATTTGAGAACTTAAAAGAAGCCTTGGGGTGGATGAGAGAGGCACTCAGAAATGCATGGTGCTTCACTTTGCAGATTTTACACATGTGGCGATATCTGCGTGAGGCTGGCGCAGCGATACTTAATTTGGCCTTCTCTGCATCCATATTTTTATTTTTAGGTCTGTCTGCCTCTCCTAGGATTTGAGCTACTTGAAGATAGGGGGAAATGCTACTTCAGCTCTTTAGTCCCATGATCCCCTAATATCATTTCTAGGAGGCATTCAGGAAAAGTATTGAGGAGATGAGTCTTTTCCTCAATTTCTCAAACCTCCGTCTTCATTCCATTCCCACTGCTACTGCCCGGGTTCAGGCCCTTCCAATTGCTCTGCTGGAGCTTAGCCACACCCCTGGCTTCTGGCCTCAGTCTGTCCTTAAGTGACGCTCACACTGTCACGAAAACCTTCCCTTCATGAATATCCTCTGCCTACATGGAAAGGTCTGGACCGAATGCAGCCTTTCTCTCCAGTCTTACCTTCCTTCTGTTTCCAAGCACTGGGATGGAGCAAGTTCTTTTAGTCCTTAAACACTTGTTTACCTGGAAAACTCCTACTCATCCATCAGAACCCAAACACAATGCCTACCCCATTCATTCATTCACTCAACATACTGTGTGCCCAGCTTTGGAGATCCAGTGGGGAAGAACTGGGCCCTGGGCCCAGCTTCAGCTCAGAGGGGTTGCAGGGAAGAGGGAGAGAGAGAGAGAATTTGATGCTCTCGGGAAATTAAAAGTATTTCAGCTGATTTATAGGGAGATAAGAACCGTGAGACTGGAGACCTCAGCAGGGTCCAGATCACAAGGGCCTTATCATTATAATTTAATCCTCACAACAGCTATATAGTAGGGTCTATAATTATCATTACCTGATTTATCTCATTCTCATTTATCTCATTATCTCATTTTGCCTCATCTAAGGCAGAAAGAGGTTAAGTAGGTCGCTCAAGTTCACACAGCTAATGAGTGGCAGAGCTGGGATTCAGGCTCCAGAGCCCATGATCCTAACCATTGGGCTGTGCCAGGACATTATTAGCCCAAGGACGGCAAAAGGAAGCCTTAGATGGTAAGAACAGGGGGATGACACAGTGACGCACCAGTGGGATGGCCAGTGGGTGGGAAGGGGCTGGGGTGGAAACGTGAAGACCAGGGAAGAAGTTATTGGGTGGCTCCTGTAAGAGAAGGCCTGAGTAAGGCTGGTAGCCATGGAGCGTGAAGCTGGGCAGAGTCCAGAGGTCTCCAGGGGGTGGTCTCAGCGACAGAGCGGATGACCTAGGGACAGAAGTGGGAGGAGCCAAAGGCAGGAGGGCTTTGGGCCCTGGCTGGGTAGTGGGCCTTTCATTGAGAGGGGAAACTGGAGGAGGGCCAGGCTGAGGGGATGGGGCCAGCATCGCAGAGTTAGTGTTTTGGGTTCCCAGGCTTCTTTTATGGTATTCAGCTCACACGACTGCAACAGTGATTTGTTGGCACGTTTGGTTTCCTCATTAGGAAAAACAGGGACTGGGCTTCTTTGTTAATTCTCTGCGTTGTTCCATGGAAGATTTGAGGTGGCTTGCAAAAACACACAAAGGCAGTTTGTAAGCTCCTCGACGGCAGTGGACTTCTCTGCCATGTCCCTCTACATCCTCTGGGCCTAGCCCTGTGTCTGGCACATGGTCAGGGCTTGTAAATATGTGTTATTTGAATGAACAAAAGGATAGCAAAATAATTGTTAAGTGGAGGAGTGAGGGAGAAACAGGGTTGGAAGCTAACCCAGGAGGAGGGGGAGAGTCCAGTGAGTGGTTAAGGGCATGGAGTTCCCACGCCACAGCATGCTAAAGCCCGAGAACTTCTCAGTGCCTCGGCTGTCTCTCTGTAAAGCAGAGATAATAATAGAACTGATCTCAAATGATTGTCCATCATGGAGGACTGGATAAAAACTATATATGGTGCCTCATAGAAAGGAATAATATGAAGGCATAAAAAAAAGACGAGAATGCTCTTTGTGTATTGCTATGGAATGATATTCAGGATACGTTAAGTATAAAAACACAGGGCACCGCGCAGTGTGTATGGGATGTTACCATTTGTGGGAAAAGGGGAAAAAGAATACTCTGTTGACAAGCATCTGATTCCATGGGGAGACCGCAGGGCGAGGAACCGAATGGCTGAGGGTGTGGGAGTGGGGAAGCGGGGGAGATTACCAAACGCCCTCTGGAATCTTTGATAATTAGGATCATGGGAATATCTTACCTATTCAGAATTTAAATTTAAATTAAAAAAGCAATTAAGATTTTTTACGTCTTAAAAACACCCCTCTCTCGGCCCTCCAGCTAGTGGCCCATTTTCTGCTCCCTTTACTGGCAAAACTGCTCGAAGGTGCCGTCGGAGCTTGTGGTCTCCAAATCTCCTCTTCTTGTCCTCCCTTCAACCTGTTGTGGTCCGGTTCTGGCCCTGCCACGCAGCCCACACCGCTTTCTTCGGTTCACCAGTGGCCTCCACGTTGCCCAGTGCAGTGCTAATTGTCAGTGCTCAGCAGCCGCGGGCCCTCCTTTGTCCTTCACACACTCCTGCTTGGCTTCCAGGGGACCGCGCTCACCCGGGTCCTCCTCCCATCTCTAAATGCGGGCGGGTCCCGGGCCCACTTTGTGCCATCTCCGCATCTCCGTGCATGCCTGGTGCTGTCATGGGGCCTCGGCGCGGTGACCAACCAGCACCTTGCCACGGAGGCTCCCCCGTGGCTCCCTCATGGCCCTCTCCCCGAGTGCCACATTCACCCCCTACCCGCTCCATGTCCCTGTTCAGCAACTTGAGTTTAGTCTGGGCCAGAGTGGAACTCTTGGTCATGGCTCTCCTGCCAACCTACCCCCGCCCCAGACTTCCCATCTTAGAAGATGACTCCTCCATTCTTAGGTCGCTCAGGCCCAAACATGGGGATTATGTTTCATTGTCTCTCACCCCCTCCCCTACGCAACGTGAACAAATCCTATTGTTTCTACCTCTGATGCAAACAGAGTCCAACGCTCCTGCTCACCCCCACTGCAACTCTTGGGGCCCAGCCACCCTCACCCTGCACCCCTCACTCCACACTCCTCACCTGGGCCTTTGTTTTAGCCTCCACCCTGGTCTCCTTGTCCGGGCTCATGCCCCACCGTCTCTGCTCAACGCAGAAGCCGGAGAGACGCTGTTAAAATGCCGACCAGAGATTCTCAACCCTCCTCTCCAGACCCTGCAATGCTCCATCTCATAAAAGCCAGGCCTTAGGACGTCCTTCACAGCCCTCAGGGTCCTCTGCCCCTCACCCCTGTGACCGCATGTCCCATTGCTGTGCCCAGTGGCTGTTTCTGACACCCCAGGCACCCTCCCCACTGGGGCCTCTGCCTCTCCCCAGAATGGTCTCCCCTCCCCACCCTCCTGTCTTCAGTCCTCACCTCCTGCAGACCCTTGCTTTAGAGACACCTCCGTGAGGCTTTTCCTGACCCTCCACCCGGAGCCCCCCATTTTAAATCTCAAACCACCCAGCCACCAGCCCCCACTCCCTACCCCACTTGACCAGTTTCCCACAGCACATGACCTGCTTTATGAGGTTCTTCTATTGCCCCTCT